GAACAAAAAAAATGGGAAAATGTCCTTGGGTGAGGATTAAAAAAAAAAGACACTAAAGATATGATGAACACAAGTGCCAACAGGAAAACAAAATTTACTGATAGTAAAAAGTGTTCTCACACCACACTGTTAGCACCATGGTCTATTTGTTCAAAGCAAGGATCAGCCTGTAAAACTCAGTGACAGAAGCTTTCTACTCTATCAAGTGATTGAACACATGTGAGCTCAAGAACTATCTAGTAAAGTGGAGGCAAAGGTAGGCATCACTGCAGGGTCACCAGGAGGTACAAAAGGTGCCATGAGGCCCAGCTGGTGTGGCTCACTGGCTGAGCGTGGACCCATGCACCAAAAGGTTGCCAGTTCGATTCCCAGTCAGGGCACATGCCCAGGTTGTAGGCCCAATCCCCAGTGGGGGGCATGCAGGAAGCGGCTAATTAATGTTCTCTCTCATCGATGTTTCTATCTCTCTCTCCCTCTCCCTTCCTCTCTCTCTGAAGTCAATCAAGAAAAAAAAAAAAAATTTTTTTTTTTTTTAAACAAAAGGTGCCATGAGGCCAGTGAAGATTACATAAGGCCAAGGTGAGTTCATGAGTCCTACCACTCATTCAGGGCAAGATTTTATACAAATGCAATCCTCAAGTTTTCTCATCTGCAAAATTAAATAAATTATCACAGATTGTTGTGGAGATTAAACAGGTTAAAAGAGTAGCAGTGCCTGGGCATAAAGTAAAGGGTCAACGTTAGTTTACTTCCTTAAGAGAAACAGCTAACTGATTTGAGGTTTCAAATGACCCACCGGTTCTTAATCTTTAAATTTTTTCAACATTTTAGGAATCTACTGATTACAACTATGGTTGAAAAGTATACTCTCTCCAGAATATTGCACATCCATGTAAGTTTTCAAGTAATTTCAGAAACCTTCTTAAACTCAAAGAAACCACCTAGGGGCCTGCGTCTAGATTAAGAATGTCTAGAAAACTATTTATTTATTTATTTTATTATTTTTTTTGGTGGTACGTGCCCCTAGCGGGAACCGAACCTGGGACTCTCTGGTCTGCAGGCCAATGCTCAACCACTGAGCCAAACTGGCCAGGGCTAGCAAACTAATTATTTAAAACTTGAATCTGTATAATAAAAGTATATGTGATAACAGATAATGCTTAATGAATGCTTATTATATGCTATTTAATGAACTATTTCATTAGTCTTTGCAACAACTCTTTGAGGTAGCTAATAATGGTATATGCATTTTCTAAGTGAGAAAATTGAGCGTAAGAAAGGTTAATTAACATGTCCTATGTTACACAAGAACACATCAAGGGGAAAAAAAATGTTCTCAGACTAATCTCAGAGGGAAGGGGGTGGGAAGGGGCAGGAAGACACAAACCAGAGAACTTATATGCAAATATGCATAACCAGTGGTCACACACAATAGTTGGTGAAGGTAGTGGTGAGAGCAGGCAGGGGCACGGGAAAGTGTCAATGTGGGGAAAAAGGAGGGACATCTGTAATACTGTCAACAATAAAGATAATAATAAGAAGAAGAATATGTTCTCTAAAAGACAGTACACAAATATCAAAAAAATAACTGAAATAGCTCAACCCACTATCTTATTTATATATGTTTTAGCCACTCAACAGAGACTTAAACACACAAAAATATATGTCTAAAGAGTAAAAAAGCTCAATAACTAAATCCCCTAACTAGCCTTTGATCTCCCTGCGAGGAAGAGGACAGGTGCACCCAGTACAGCTCAGCCTGCCGAGCCTGGATCTGTGACAGTAAAAATGAAAGTACATCCTTTTTTTTTTTTATCCTCACCCGAGGACTTTTCGATATTTTGTTCAGATAGAGTGGTAGAGTGGGAGGTAGGGAGGGAGGGAGGGAGAGAGACATCGATGTGAAAGGGACACATCGAGTGGTTGCCCACACGACCCAACCAGGACCAGGGACAAACTGCAACCTAGGTACGTGCCCTTAGCGGGAACCGAACCCGGGTCTCTCCGGACCACAGGCCGACGTTCTAACCGCTGAGCCAAACCGGCCAGGGCGAAAGTGCATCCCTTTTAAATGGCTGCACCATTTCTGCTTTGGAGAGCTTGTTGTACCATTTACACCACCTTACACTAGGATCTACTGAGGATCTGGGCAATGTTTTTCTTTGCCATCTCACATCCCTCACTATCCCAGAACTACCAATAAACACAGTGGTGTTTGCTAGAAACATCCAAGCTAACAGATTCTCAGTAACAAGTAAAAATGTTGCCCTCCCAGCACAAATACTTTAAAAATAAACAGTAAGTCAGAACTTTATAAAATTCAATCGGATGAGTTGATGCACTCATTAGTGTAGAAACACAGATCACATATACCTGAATATGCAAAGAAAGTTAAATTATGAAGCAATCAATGCCATCCTATAAAAACTAAATTAACAAAAATAGTCTATTAGGGAAGACATCTGGTGTATCATGGCAAGAAATGTTAATGATATTGTCTGCAACCCTGTAATCAATTTTTTCCGCAGCAGCTCTCTCATTACACTGTATTAGATCTGTGTGCCTGCAGAACTTATGAGAGTTCCACACATGGGGTGTGGGAGGAAGCTTTGCCAACTGCATCCGATTCAGATTCAGCTCAAATGACTTTGGCAGCATGAAGCGTTGTTAAAGAATAATCAATACAGTTAGCTTTATGCAGCATCATCTTGACTGAAAGATTTATCAACTTATTACAGAATCTTCTCAAAACTACATATGATGGTATCTGAATGCACCACCAATCATAAATGTGTTTTCTTTTTCTTTATTGATTTTAGAGATAGAGGAAGGGACAGGGAGAGAGAGACAGAAACATCGATTGGCCGCCTCCTACATGCCCCCCAGTGGGGATCAGGCCTACAACCTGGGCATGTGCCCTGACCAGGAATCAAACCAGTGACCTCTTGGTGTATGGGTCGATGCTCAACCACTGAGCCACACCGGCCAGGCTCATAAACGTATTTAAATCCTCAGTGAACACAACACTTTTACTGCTAAAAAATTAAATACTGGTCATCACTAATGCTAACAGAAAAAGTTTACTGTTATGGGAAAAATTCTCAATCTATTAAGCAAATCCTGGTTAGTGAGTATTATGATAAATAAAACAGTCTATCAATGACATCCACACTGATAAGAGAATAAAGAAACAATCAGCCTGAAAGATAACCATTTCTTGGATACATATGGAAACAGATGGTAACCAGTAAAGGCTGAAGATTTTGAAGTAGGTAGAGTCAAATCCTGACTCTGTTAATTTATCCCTTAAAATGTCAGTATCTCTTCAGAAATTAAACTTAGACTTTTATCCACTATATTGGGTTTTATCTTACATCGTGAATGGCTGTTATATCAAGAATCCAAGGCTTCCATAATGTGAACATTTTTTCTTGTCTTTCTTGGTAAATTACACTGGCAACTAGCTAAACATGAAATTGTTGTTGTGACAATTATTCCTGATTTTGTTATAATTATTAATATCTCATCTCTATTGTCTTGGTCCTCTTCATTTTATGCATGGATGACAGCCCTAGCCACCTAATTGAAACTTTCAGTCTTTCCTCATCCACACTGCATTCTGCTTCCCAATGAATCTTCTTAAGCAGTGATTTGCAAATTGGTTTGCAGGAAATAAAAAAGGCTGCAAAGGCTCTCTTCTGCCTATCACATAAAACCTTATCTTTTCTAACCTTTAAGATTCCCTGTGTGATCTGGCCCCATTTTATATCCCCACCTCTGCCTCCCAAGACCCACTAACCTGTGCTCTTCATTGACGTCCTGTGGTCTTCTTCTCACAACTCCCAGCTTCACCAGGCTCATTGCCTATGTCGCTCATAGGGATAGGCTGACATGTACACCTAGAAGGCTCCTCCACTCTGCCTGGCCACAAGTTACTGATGTATCAAAAACATACTCAGCTCCTCAAAACCTACTGAGTGTCACAAAACTTTCCCAGTGCTATCATCCGTTTGAAGCACTCTCTTCTCTTAGTCTCAAGATGTGAATATTCAGCACAGCAACTGAACAATTCACTACATATTGCCAGTATCTTACATTGCATGTGTGCTTCTGTGATGGCTATTTTCTTGTGTTATTTTCTAAATGAGTATAAATTTGAGTGCCACATGGTCAGACAGATTACATGTAAGAGAAAGACAGGTCTTAAATTTCTTTAGTGATTAACAACAGTTGATCAGAACAAAAACACCTGTCTTTCAGAAAACTTTACCATTAAATCCTCACAAAGGAAGAAAAAGACAGGCGTGTACACAGCTTTCAGAAAAGGTAAGATATAAGACAAAACCAGCCCTCCTGGATCACAACCACCAGGTCCTGTGTTCTAAGGGATAACTAACTAGGAACATTTCATCCTGCTACATCTCACACACATCCCACATCACTGCCAGGTAACAGAGGAATTACCAGAGTACAGCTGAGAGTATTATATCTTCACCCCAACCCACGCCTTTCAAAGTGTTTTATTCTATAACTGCCATTGCAGAAAAGACTAGCTATTTCTGAGCAATATTCTGCAAAAGGTCACCTGAGAGGACAGCACCCAAAATAGTTTAGATTCATGGGCCACAAGTCCCAATGGTCCTGGGGAAATGCACATTCCACACTCGATCTCAAACTTACCCCCTTTTCCCCCATTTCAGTTGCCAACATCCATACTCGCTGCTGATTGCCAGCTCCTGCTCCTTGCAGCAGCCCAGCATGCTCTCTGCTGGTGCCAAAATACCCTATACCACCAAACCCCACTAACTTCTGGAACTGTCCTAGAGGGGTAAGGCAAGTCCCGTATTTTGCTTCCTCTGTGCATGTACTTGTTACTCCTTTAAAAACACATACAATACAGCACATTTTTAAAGGGGCTCTGGGGAGGGAGGTAATATTCCTATTTTATACCCTATGGGATATAAAATATTGACAGCTTTTAAAAACGGGATTCTCCTTACCCCTACAGGCCCTCTCCCGGCTTCAGAAAGATGCTGTGGTGGCTGTGACGCCACCGGCAGAGAGCATGCTGGGGGGTCACACAAAGCAGGAGTTGGAGATCTGCAACAGGCCTGGGAGTTGTGGACCTAAAAAAGAAAAAAGTTTTAAGTTAACATGCCCAATGTCCCCTCATACCCTGGTTACTAGGGGCACTCAGCACACAAGCAAGTATCTGCACAAATCCTTTAGCAGATGGCCTCTGAAATCTCAGAGAACTTGTTCTACCACTGAAGTTAACCTTTCTGCATGATCAAAACTGTTTCCTTAGCTCAGCGTGAACAAACATATGACCCTTCCAGCTTTACACTTAAACCTGGATCCTGTCACAAAGCAGTATGGTGTGTGCCCCTCAAAATAACCAAGTTAAGATGACACAATGCCAAAGGTACAGTGACTGTGGCATGCTTTGCTTACAATAAAATTAAATTTTCAGTGGTGTCAGACAAACACAACTATAAAATGAACCAAAAGTGGACAAAGTGAGCTTTCAGAAGTATTTCTAATGAGAGAGGCTAGAGTCCTAAGACATGTACTTAATAAGGAAATATTCAAATCATTACAGGTGTCAGTGAAAGATCCTACCATTTTCTCAAAGTCCTAGTTTAATTTTGTAAAGCTAAAGGCAAGGTAAAGGACAAAAGCTTAATACCAGAGGGAAAAAAGACACCATTCAAATGAGTTTTAATTTTCTCCAATGTCCAAAAGGTAAGTATAATGAAAAGGCACATAGAGCATAAAGTTCAAGAAAGACATTATTTCTTTTAGGAGCAAAACCAGTTTGGTATGTATCACTTTAAAAAAAAGAAAAAGAAACTTTGAAAAAATTTAATACCATCAAAAGATTAGAGAGTAACTTCTGTAAGCCAGCACAATTTTAAGTATCAAAAAAGATACCTCAGATAATAGTTTGAATATGATCCCTTTCAAGCATTCTAGAGAGCACATAACACTTCCAAAAAAACCTTAACCAATTCAATTACATGAGGTTTTAAATGAACTAATAAAAATCCCATAAAATTCTAATGTTTATATAAGATTTTTGTTCTTAAAGTTGTTTAAAAATTACAGATAAGCAAGTTTTTTAATATTAAATCATTTTTAAGAATTTCTGTCACATAACTTCCTTTTGAGAGGCAAAGAATCACTCTTTAACAACGTCCTGTAATTCATTTAATATGCTCTGTTTCTTTTAGAACAAACAAAAAAGACAAACACCAAGAAAATAAGCTAACATTGGGATGTCTTTATCATGGTGGTTTTTTCTTTCCTTTCTCTACAGATCACTCTCTACAGCACAACCTGGGCTCCACACATTCTGTGTGGTCAGTCTCTGGCTCCCACCGCCTCAGTTACAATACCTGATAAAATCAAGTGTTAGTAGCCATAATCTTCTCTACCACACACCTCCCACCTCCCCATACCAACACTGTAAATTCCAAATCAAAAATTCAACTGTGCACAAGAATGCAGAATGTACGGTATACACAATACTTTTTTTTTTTTTTTACCATAATCATCAAATAGAAAATAATTTCTGGTTAATCTCTTGCACTAGGAATTTAATTAATCAGACCACTCAAATCCTTATATATTCAAATCAAGGGTTTTAAACAAAGACACCTAGTAAAGCATTTCTAAGCACTTTGGCATTTTTGTAAATATGCAAATATTCAGGTAATTATTAAAACATTTTAAGCATTAAAAAAGGCATCATTTCAAAGCATATCACTGTTCTTATTTATGAATCAGAAAACACTGACACAGTATCTCAGTTTCCCTAGTTTTATTTCAGTTCTTCTAATGAACTTTATCTTTGACTATTTTGAGCTGGTTCGTAACACAAACATCCACATACAAATTACAAATTTCTAGCTGTAAGGAACTGAGTTTGAATAACAAGACTTTACAAATATGCTTACACAGCAGCTCTCTGCAAATATCTAATTATCTCAAATTTTCTTAAGCTTCTTTTTAAAAAAATTAGAATATCTAGAGTTTTCTACTTGAAAAAATTTCACATATGGAGAACAGGTTTAGTAAATAACATTTTTTAAAAATATTTTATAAAAATAATATAATTAAGTACAACTTCAGTGATTTCTTGAGAGTCCTGAAATTCAAATAAACTGGACACAATGAATTACCTTCACGGTAACCATGAACCCTTAAAACTTTAAATCCCATGTGGTCTATAATGGCTTTCAGTCATGAATGAAAACAGATCGCTGAGAAACTGACTAAATGGAGCCAATAAGGTGCTCTGAGATTATTTGTTCCCAAAGCCTCATTTTGATTTTCACTTACATGAATACCACCTCCTCCATTTATAAATTGACATTTATATCATGAAAAATGGTTGTGATTAAAAATAACTTTCAACCTCACTGCTCTGGAACTGGGGGGAAGGGTTTGCAGCGGATATCCAACATCACCTCATCTGACTATGTCCATCAAATTCCGGGCTAAAAGATTTCATTCTACTCTCGGTTCTTACAGGATTAAATGTAAATAACTTCAAATTTACATGTGAAAAGGACACTTAGTACTTGAACATACACAGTAGGTCCTCAAATACCATTATTTTGTTCATTATCTTTATGAGATGCCTTAGAAAACTAACTCTTGTTTATATCAGCCTATGGTAAAACTGGTTTAGTTATACATCATTTCCTATCAACAATGTTAAGTATGGACTTACTGTATTTATTATCGGTGGCTTACTCCAAACATAACACGGAGTAGGCCCAACACCCCATTGTACTGTATTATAATACTTATGGATAACAACAAAGCAACCATGGCTTTTACTTAAAACAAAGGAGGAAAAAAAAGTGGCCCAACAGGAAAATTCTCTAGCACCAAGTCAGTAATGCACACCTTTTGGTAACTGAGAAACCACTGTAGAAGAGTACTGCCTCACTGATAAACTCACTCCTGACAGGTGAAAAAACTAAACTAACAGAAAGGAACAACTCCTTTTAAAGAATTATCTCCCTTTTTTTTTTTTTCTTTTAAACAGGCTTTGCTGCCTTTTTTTTAAACCCTCACCAGAGGGCATTTTTGCATTTATCTTCAGATAGAGGAGGAGGGAGAGAGGAGGAAAAGAGAGAGAGACACATAGAGTGGTTGCCACCCACATGACCCCAACCGGGCCGGGGACAAACTGCAACTGAGGTACATGCCCTTAGCAGGAACCGAACCCAGGACTCTCTGATCCGCAAGCCGACACTCTAACCACTGAGCCAAATCGGCCAGGGCCATCCCATTATCTCTTTAAGTAACATGTAATTCCTCACTCTATAAACTGAAAAACTTCACAGTTTTCAAGTACTAAGTGTTCAAGTACACAGTTCACACTTACCTATCCAAAGCAACACTCAAGTAACAAAGCTATAACTGGGTGGTACTGACCTTTTTGTAAGGAACAAGCCAAGAAGGTAGAAAGAAGGAACTATATAAAGCAGTGGTTCTCAACCTGTGGGTTGCGACCCCTTTGGGGGGTCTAACAACCCTTTCACAGGGGTCGCCTAAGACATAACAGTAGCAAAATTACAGTTATGAAGTAGCAACGAAAATAATTTTATGATTAGGGGTCGCCACAACACGAGGAACTGTATTAAAGGGTCGCAGCATTAGGAAGGTTGAGAATCACTGATATAAAGAAATACTAATTCTGCAGGCCTAACTTGAGGGACTATGAAAAACAAAAGGAGACAGAAACGAATCATCGTACTGTAAGATATTTTTCATATCAGCTGGCTTTCTCTGGGATAATATACTGAGAGCTCTCATTTATCTTTGCTAAAAGTATTATAGAAAACTCAAAACATTATAATAATGCCTAAAAAATGTTATGATTTTGGCTGCAGTCATGTAAATTTCCTAAAGAAAATAAGAAACTGAGTTTTAAAGTATCTTAAGAATAATTAAGAAACTAAGTTTTAAAGTATCTTAAGAATAGTTTTATTATTTAAATATATAAAATAATACATACTGCAAGCTTAAAAAAAGGTAAAGAAGCAGATCTCTTTGGCTTGTTTAATAAACAGAAGGTTCATCTCTAGCTAATGCAAGAATTTTATCAAACTATTACTATAGCTTTTAGAAAACTTGACCCAGTGAATTCCTTCCCCTGAAATGTTATTGTATTCAATACTCAATAAATATTTATTGTAGATCTTATGTGGGCCAGGCAATGTCCTAAGTGCTCAGTGTACATCAATGAATAAAACTGGTGTGGTGTCTGCCCTCACACAGCTTAACCCTAAAGCCCCAAATACACATCAACATCATGATCATTATCATTCCACAACCCAGGCACTGCACTGCCCACTTTGTAGACTTATCTATTAATCTAAAAACAATCTACCTGAAAGGTATATGCATTTACAATCCCAAATTAAAGCAAGGTTAGGAAGGTTAAGTGTCTTGCCCAGGTCATGAAAGAGAGCAACTGATGAAGCAAATTGATGTCAAGCTGTCAATCCATGCAATCTACCATCCCTTATCTCAGTCCCAGAAAAGCATCTCGAATTCTGAATTAGCCATGTTCAAATTAATGTGGACTTCCTGCCCCACCCCAAGAACAGTTTTAATACAAGATTTACCTAATATTAAAATGGCATATAATGCATAAATAATAATTAACTCAATGTGTACACATGTATGTGTGCACAAAGAGTGCATGTAAATGAATCTCTCACACCTCCCAGCATTCTCTATATAAAGGTCTCTAACAAAAAATTAGAAGATATAATTACTTATCCTCAATGAGTTTTCATATTAAAGAAGGAATAGCAGCTTCTTACTTTTAATCCACTTCTGAGAGACTCAACTTGGTGTAGAGCGGGCAAGTCAATAGTAAATGGAATCTAAGCTGAAGCTAATTTTCCTGCAGTTCCTCTTTGTTGTGATCAGTTCTTGGGTATAAACCTATCAAACCAGGAATCAGAAAGAAATTCCAAATTCTCCTCCCCTGGCTGCTCACATTTGGCAATGAAACAAGGGATATAGTATTGAATCTTAAATAATTTGGCCCCCACATTCACAGCAGTAATGAAGATGTGCCTTCTCCAAGATAACTAGTGGCAAACTAAGGATTCAGCTATTCTGCATTCACAATCAGTACTTAGGACGCATGCTGTTAGGGACATAAAAGATACAATAGCACACTCATCCATGCAGAGCCATAACAACACACTGAGCCCTAGACTCAACTGGAAAAAAATCATAATATCCTTGATGACATATCCCCAACTCTGAGGAACGTTTAGATCAGGTATAATTTTAATAATTTTCCCAGTTTTAATTAATCAAATAAGAGCCAAAATGAATCAATGTTATTTGCTCAAAATAATGTGTGTAATAATCATATATCCTAAATGAAAATTCATTCCATATAACTGAATAATTTTATGTAACTCTAAGAAATCAAAATCATTTTTTCTATTGTATGAATGATAGAAATTCATTAGGAATCCACACAGAATTCCCATGTAGAATATTAAAGGAATAACTTCAATTACTTACCTATGAATGAAGAACTAGGTATTAACTACTACAGCTAGACCCAGACCAAGAACTCTTGGTATTATACTGAATGGAAATTACTAATCCCAATGATCTTCTTTGTTGAACATTCTCAGAATCTATGATTACTACACTTCTAGATAGGAAATTAACTTTATTATGCTAAGGCCTGGATTTCTATAAAAATTGAGTTTTGTTGTTTTTTAGTAAAAGCAAGAAAGAAATCTCTCTTTGGGGACAAAAACTGAATAACTTCCTCCACATCAATCCTACTTAATGTTGTCCAAAGAGGACTGATATCAAAAAATGCCACAGTTGTCTGTCTAGAACCTACAATCACCGAGGGAAGGAACTATATCTCACATTCTTCAGTTCCCATTATAGTGCTGCTTTCAGCAGAGAACACAAAGTACGTTTTCAATAAATGCCTGTCAAAGGCCCTGATTACAACCCGAAACATTCTTAATTGCACTGTGGGACGCAATGCTCTGTGGTGATACTGACTCATTCAGGAACAACATTCTCAAAGAAACCAAGTCACACAGCGCCCGGGAAAAGCTATGAGAGTGCTGCAGAAGAAAGGGTTGGAGGTGTTATGCTAGGCTCTTGGAGTTACGATTACTGGAAATCAGCACAAACTGGCCAAGAAGAGGCCTTCACTGAGAGGAAACATGGACACTCTAAGATCCAACAGGAAGCAGTATCCGGAGAGCTCAAGGAGATGTGCATGCTCTCTCCCTTTGGCCCCGAAGTTGTTCCAATCCTCTGCTTTCCCTGGCATCCCGCCTGATCACATCAGCTTGCCTATGACCTGTTTATGCCTCCCCAACTCTCTCTGCACTGAGGCAATTCTTCATTCATCCCATCAGCTTTGCCCTCCTTGCTAGCTACTAAATCTCTCAGTTCAACTTTTGAAGCCAGGCCACAAAGATCACAGATTGCCTTTCTACATTACTGTTCTTTCAACGGGCTAAAGATTCTGCCAACTGCTTTAATATTTACTTCTGAAGCCTAAGGTGTAAAATTGCCTTATTTAATTGATGATCCCTCTTTCTTCATGCTTGTAAGCATACACTATCCATAATTCAACCATACCTCTCCTGCTGTCTAGCCCTCACTTTTGACATGTTCCATAGATACCTTTGTCATTGTAGTCAAACAAACCAAGGTCTCGCAGTTTGTAAATAAGCCCATCTAATGAACACTTCCTAAGAGAACAAAAACTGCCTAACACATAATTCCCTTCCCTTGAAAATGCTGCTTCCAAAACCTCAGTTCTGTTAAAAACTCATTTTTTTTGCACCATCATAGCTTATCCCTACCCCTGTGAAAGTACAGGCTATAAATATATCTACCAATGTGGGATGGAGAGGCTATATGTGTTTTGATAGTCAAATGTTAACAAAATGGAAGCCATGGATCCCATCTCCAATATAACCTATCACCCAAACAGAGACACCTTTGAAAGTGAAAAGGAAAACTGTTTAATAGTTTACCAGGACAACAGATATAACCTGGTCAATAGAAGCAGCTATGTTTTACATTCTGGACTCAGATCCTGCCAGAAGACAACCAGATCCCTGTGTAAAATCCAAAGACCCTTCTTATCTTACACTGAACTAGTTCATAAACTATTACTCAGGATCCTGAATTCAGTACACTGGCACTGTGCTAGTGACTAGTGGTAGTTGTCTCCTTATGTCCACTTCTCACTTCTTGAGCCTCTGAAGTGTTTAACACTGTATTCTTAGCTAACATGTATCATAAAGGGCATTCACCCAGTTCTTTTTTACAATCCCAAAATATTCCTATACTCACAAACTCACCATGATGAAAGGATTAATTCTAACCAGCGGTGTAAACAAAGAAATACATCTCTCAGTTACAACCCTAAAACAAATAAAGCTAAAAAGATAAAATCATAATTAAGCAACAACATTTCGAAGCTATTGGGTTTTTGTTTTCCACTGCTCCACTTGCCATACATGGTATTTCCTGTGGGCAAAACCAACTCCAATTTCTTCTTTCTAAAATCTTGCAGAGGAAGGAAAAAAAGCATATTTTCTTTTGTTCACTTTTCCCCTATACCTTGGTAAGCTGAAGGAAACAAAAAAACAACCTATGATTATTCTCCTCCATTAGGTTACCTTTTTGTAAATAGTATTGAGAACCACGAAAAAAAGAAAGCAGATATCCAGATAATAACTACATTCCTTCCAGTAGTAAATATTTCAATATCACTTATTTTTACACAACTATGATATGTGCTGAATAAAGAACTCAAACAAAAACATAAAACATAGCAATGTGTGATTTAGGAAAAGGTAGCTAAACGTACTGTACACTACACTACTTCCTACATTGTTTTTCCAGACAGCTTTAATGTGTTGTACTAGACCGATACTGACAACAGAAGCTTCAGCTTTTATTGCTGTTAATACCCTGAGCAATTACTGTAACACAGCAGGAACCTCTGCCCCAAACTATCACACTGTAATCAGCATTTCATAAGGAATGCTGTGCAAACATGAAGGCACCAGCTAATGTGCAAAAACTGTACAAAAGGGGCTCAGATTGTAATGGTAAAAGAAAAATCTTTGCGATTTTATTTCACAGCTGTATCTTTTCCATGGTGCCTTGGTATTACATTTGGTAGAAATCACACACAAAGACACTGACCAGGAAAAGAGCAGTAGCAGCAGCCACTAGTGCAAAAAAAAAAAAAAAAAAGCTTCAGGAACCAAGGCCACCACCCAGATTTTCAGATGTCAATGTAGCTTCTGTAAAAAAAATGTTTGGAAGAAAATGTATAATAAATAGCAAAGTCCTCTAAAAATAATAAAACTTTATGTTGACATAAAATCTGAATTCAAAGCATTTGACTTTATAAGATTCAACTGCCAGGCCACCATACAAAAAAAACAGGGAAGTTGAAGCAGCTTACCAAGAATGAACCTTGGAAGTAAAGGGCACATTTGACTCTCTTTTAAAACAGTAAGAATATATTACTTATGTAATAATTTTTTAAGAAAAATAAATAAATGGCATGCAATTTTTTAACTAACTAGATTGGAATATACTATTTGGATATTTGGAATCATTATAAACAAAGAAGATGCAGAGTTAAAGATCTCTTCAGACCACTACATTACTTTTCCTTAGACTGAAATATCACATACAATGCATGTCAGAACACAAATATAGTCAAAAGTTTCAAAGGGGTTTGGAAATAAGGGCAGTCACAGACACTGATAAATATCTCTACAAATTAGGATTAGGATTTCTCTACACCTAAGACCAGACAATGGTTAACAACCTCCAAGTACAAGGATCCCTTTTTAAAGAACTAAATGTTTCAAAAGATATCCAAATAACAGTACTTCAATTATCAACTGTTTGAAGAAAATACCTAATAAACCTAATTATATAGATAATATCTTAACTACATATTATCATTAAATAAGTAAATTTTAAAAATCACAGTAGCATATTAATACATTTGAAAAGCATCTGTACAGACATGTGAGGTACATTTATTTATTTAAGACTGAGAATGTTTATTTGCAGACCTTTGCAAAATCTCTGCAGATATCCAGGGATCCAAAACCCGTAGTGTGGGGACCACTAGTCTGAAACCAAGAGATCATAGCGGGCAACATCAATACTTATGAACTTGGGAAAAGTTTTTAATGAGAAAGTTTATAGCTATACTATCCCTGAGCCAGACCTCCTTCCTCCAACCTCCACTACTGGGAGACCCCAAAAGAAGGGTCACGATAACTCCATACTCACTAAAATATCTAAGTAAATTAATTATAGTCACCACAAAAACTAGTCTCTGGCCCATTTACATACACCCCCCCCCCCATCAAATTTACTTTTCTTCAGGCTCTTCACAATGGCTGACAACAAACAATTTCAGAAACTCAAGTGAATCGCTGAAATTGTTGTCGAAATAGCTAGGAAAGGAAGAAAACTTTACACACATTATTTACAGTATGAGCTGTACAACTCTAAGTATTACAAATCTGAAAAGATAAAATTGGTGACTGCCTTATGTGGGTGGTGCTCCAGCCACCAGGGAAAGTTAGCACTCAGAAGGTAAACTGATTATCAAGTTAATACGATGGACAAGCAACCAAGAGACAGCCAACAGAACTGGAAAAAGAGAAGGTCCAGAGCAGAATCAAGAGCACATTAAAAAAATGCTTACCAGTTTGAAGTCTTGAATGCTACAGATGAAATACGGTGTGTTTGGCCTCCGACTCTCGATATACACACAGTCTTTAAAAGAAAAAGAAATTTTAAAACAATGGCATTTACCTTTAAGGGAACAAAGACAGGGCCCATTAAGCCACTGCATAAATAGATAAATGACAAAGCACACACATTTTAGAGAAAATTTTTTCTCAAAGGTTAATATCAAATTACAAGTAATTTTAAGCTAAAGGGAAGCAGCCCTTGGGTTCTTTTTGACCATTTCCCTGTTAATTTAAAGAACTTGATAAAGCCTCAATTATTGTTTTCGGGGTCCCTGAAAGAGGAGGAGGAAATCCCATGGGATTATCCATATTCAGGTGATGGTAACTTGCCTAAAGTTATGCATCAAGACAAAATCCTGAATCTTAATCAAATAGATGCCCTCCATATCTTCACAAAAAGAAATGGTTTAGCCAAGTACTACTTTATTTTTATTACCTACTATTTTGTGAGGAAAGAAGTAAAATATAATGAAGACTAGCTTGAACATGCCATTACAATGATCTTTTCACCTAAACCAAGAAAAAGAAATTAATCCTTTGTGGGTAATTTACTAAAAATTTTAACCTAAATGTATTTTATTTTCTAATTGTAAAGAAAAACAAGGCAGCCAATCAGAGATGGAATGAAGTAAACCAAATTACATTTTCCTCTAGGAAGAAGAGCACTTTCTTAAATTACATTTGACACGGCACGGGTTGATTGATTATGTTTGATGCTCTCAACTGCTAAAGTCTAAAGGCTGCTTTTTAAAATAGCAGGCTAAGATACAGTTTTTTAAAAAGCAATGATTTTAAGGGAAAAAGTGCTTATAAAGAAATATATAAACCCTCTATAACCCTGGCTGGTGTGTCCAGTAGTTAGAGCCCACACATCGAAGGGTCTCAGGTTTGATTCCCAGTCAAGGGCAGTTACCTGCATTGCAGGTTTCATCTCTGGCCCAGGTCAGGGTGCATGTGACAGGCAACCAATCAATGTGTCTCTCTCAACTCTCTCTCTCTCTCTCAACTCTCTCTCTCTCTCTCTCTTTCCCTCCCTTCCTCCCTTTTGATCTCTCAAAAATTTAATGGAAAAAATATCCTCAGTTGAGGATTAACAATAAATAAATAAATAAACTCCACACTACAATCCAAGATTATTATAAAGTTTAGGACAAGAAAGTCATGTATTATTTACTGAAAAGTAAAGGCATCGGCAGTCAATCAAATTTTCTGGAGAGTGGCCACTGTAATACCCATATTTAAAATGTCCTTTGTTTTGCCCAGTCAGTGTGGCTCAGTAGATTGAGTGTCTGCCCATGGACTGAGAGGTTCTGGTTTGATTTCCAGCCAGGGCACATGCCCAGGTTGCAGGCTTGATCCCCCGTGGGGAGCATGATGGAGGCAGCCAATTGGTATTTCTCTCTTACATCAATGTTTCTATCTTTCTCACTCTCTAAAATATCAATAAAATAATTTTTTAAAAAAAAGACAAAGCCTGGCTGGTGTGGCTCTGTGGTTGAGTGTCGACCCATGCACCAAGAGGTCGCTGGTTCAATTCCTGGTCAGGGTACATGCCCAGGTTGTGGGCCCAATCCCCAATGGGGGGCATGCAGGAGGCGGCCAATCGATGTTCTCTCTCATCATTGTTTCTATCTCTCTCCACCTTCCTTCCTCTCTTTCGAAAATCAATAAAGGAAAATAAACAAATAAATAAAATGTCCTTTGTTTTATCTCATGACCCTTCATAATGAATATGTCTTAGAATAACTCAGATGCCTGAGAACTCAGGCAGATTCTACTACTGCCTCATTGTATGCATGGTAAGAGCCAAGAAATAGCAAAGGAGCAAAGATTTGGAGCCACTCAACCAGTAGACAGTGCAGTCCCACCACAAGTGCTAGCAGACCCACTAGGACGTAGATCATGAAGAAAGTCCTCACTAAAAAAAACGCTTTCTGCCCTGGCTGGTTTGGCTCAGCGGTTAGAGTGTCGGCCTGTGGTCTGGAGAGACCCAGGTTCGGTTCCCGCTAAGGGCACGTACCTCGGTTGCAGTTTGCCCCCAGCCCTGGTTGGGTTGTGTGGGTATGTGTTCCTTTCACGTCAATGTTTCTCTCTGTCTCTCTCCCTCCCGCTCTATCTGAACAAAATATCAAAAAATGTCCTCGGGTGAGGATTAAAAAAAAAACTTTCTTTCAAAAAACTTTCTGAAAGACATCAGAACTTTTTGTAGACCAAAGACATTCCAGAAAGATAAAAAATCATGTAGGCATCCAGAATTTCCTAACTGATTTCTCTATTCAGATGTAGACTCAACAACAGATTTAATCCCTGTATCCATGTGAACAGTTGACTAAGCTTTCTATCTTGTTCCAGAACCCAGGAGGCTAAATAACTCTGTTCAACATTCAGGCAACATCCATTTAACATGCTAATCATCTTAAGAAACAAACAAGAGCACTTTTCCCCGTATGGTACATACCTCTCTTCCTAGCCCTAATTTGGTGTTTAAGTAAAAACAGAAGAAATCAATTCCTAAGTAAAATTTGTAGCTCCAATTTGCACAATTTTGGGACGCCCAAGGGTCTAAATTTCTGTGCTCTAATCCCTATTGTACTAAACTACCAGTATTTCAAATCTCTAGATATCAATTATTTACTTATCCCACTCAAGGTGAAAACAAATGACAGTCTATATGCACTCTTCTTCCTGTTTCATACATTACACTGTCATTCCTAGCTACTATTAATAGGTCACTTTCTTAAATAATGATTTACACATTCTTAAAGCCCATGTGACAAAAAATTTTCCATAGTCTATGGTCTGGCCCACACCACATCTCATTCTCCCCTAGGCTGCATTCTCCAAAAGAAACAGCAACACGCCTACCTCCATCCATGCCAAATCCTCTTTACTCCTTCATTCTACCAGCACCTGCAACCTTATAATGAGTTATCTCCAGCAGCAGTAAATGTTCATAGATCCTCTGTAAAGAAATGGCAACATCTCTTTCCTTTTACATAAAATTAACAATTTACATTCCCTGTTTGTTCAGTTATTTGGCAGTCAGATGGTCTACACTATCGACATTACTATTTTTGAACTTTTGAGCTCAGAGAAACTTACTTCAGTATTCTCTGCAACCACCAAGAATTGGTATCTGGCATCATGTTGGTTAAACCAGACAAAATAGAAGTAAATGACAGATGCACAGTGAAAACTAAGTGTGACTTTGGTCTTTTTACATAAAGAAAAGTTCTATATACACTTTTCATAATCAATAGAATCATTATTACTATAAACCCTCTTATTTTGAGACATAAAGTAGCTATTAACTTGTAGTATATGAAAATGCTTTCCAGGAAAAAAATAATCTATATTCTCTCATTTCTCACTGCAAAGTTACATTCAGGAAAATGATTATCTATAAAGACACCCAGATGGAACTCTGTTGGAGAAGGGAAGCAAGGAACATGTTGGTATGTCAAGGTTGACTACTGACATCTCTTTGCCTAAACACTTCTTTGCAGTCTTGTTGGAAGCTGCCTCGCACTCTTGACTTGAGAAAAACTGCCATGAAGAGATAAGGCAGACTGAGAGAGCAGATTCTCAAATTTGACATATGCAATTAATATATTTACTTACTGATGCCTTATTAGTAGATAAACAGTCACCTCTTTCTGTTTAAAGAGTTACCATGGTAACCCAAATTAATCCACAGCATAAAAATTCACAGATTCCAATGCCCAGGGTTAGTAATCTGTAAAACAGGTTACTATGTCAACAATCTCTATCAGTATTTTGAAACTTATACATGAAAAATAAGATGAGCTCACTTCAAAATTAAGTGACAAAACTTAAGAGTTTACTGTGTTTATAGTAAAACACAGAATGGCTAAGATCAAGGGTAGTATAAACTGAAAATTTTCACGTCAAACTTGCCATAGAAATTGCTTTGATTTGACTCTGATAATTCATTTTAAAAATAAAAGCATGAGCCCTGGCCAGTCTGGCTCTGCAGTTATCAGCCTGCGGTTCAGAGAGACCCAGGTTCGGTTCCCGCTAAGGGCACGTACCTTGGCTGCAGTTTGTCCCCGGCCCTAGTTGGGCTGTGCAGGTGGCAGCCATTCAATGTGTCCCTTTCGCGTCAATGTTTCTCTCTCTTTTTCTCTTCCTCTCTCTCCCTCTCACTCTACCTGAACAAAAAATGGAAAAATATCCTCAGGTGAGGATATAAATAAATAAATAAATAAATAAATAAATAAATAAATAAATAAATAAATAAATAAAAATAAAAGCATGAGCCCTGGCCAGTTTGGCTCAGCGGTTGGAGTGTAGGCCCGCAGTCCAGAGAGACCCAGGGTTCAGTTCCCGCTAAGGGCATGTGCTTCGGTTGCGGTTTGTCCCCGGAACTAGTTGGTCGTGTGGGTGGCAGCCACTCGATGTGTCCCTTTCACATTAATATTTCTCTCTCTTCCCTCCCACTCTATTTGAACAAAAAATGGAAAAAATGTTCTCGGGTGAGGATAAAAATAAAAATAAAAGCATGAAAAATTACTGTAGAGTCAAACTTTCCTTTTTAGCCCATAAAATTAGGGTGATCCAACTAAAAGAGAAAATATTCTAAGAAACAATTTGGAATTTAAGTCTCACACACAAAAATCATCTACTTATTCCTCTTAATGATTTTCGAAACAAGGTTAAATACTCATAAGTATTCCCCTTGTCTCACTGATTAAGCAGGTTTTTAAGGAAACAGCTTTATATAGATGTCTACAGTTAGCCCCAAAATAAAGTAGTTTATTTGGAAAGGGAAAGATGAGAGCCTAAGTCAAGAGCAATATTAAAATCTCAGTTGGAATATATGCCCAATAATTTCTTAAAGCCAAAATAATTTTCAAAAAATTTTGATGCAATTTATGAGTGCATGGATTGTCTAAAGCTGGTTTCAGTTAGCAGGATCTATGATCCTCAACCTGAAAATCTCCCATAACCAACACAAGCACTGCAGATACCTTTTTTCTAAGAGCTGCTTCTTCTTTTTTT